ATTCTCCATCCAGGGAAGGGCAGACCTGGATTTCCATCTTCCAAGCAAATATCCTTAGCAGCACTCCAGGTCCAATGCTAGCTCTCCATTAGCAGGGGTCAGCCTGACCAGCCTGGAGTTTAGGATGTTGGAGGTATAGGATTGACTGCCTTCAGGAAAGGGAGGGGTCTGAACGGGAATATTTCTGCATATCCTGTACCCAAGGCAATTGCTCTAACTGCACAGACTGGTGTGGGCAGGTAGCAGTTGCCTTTGAGAGGTTGGATTCTACAGAGTAGCTCCTTCTCAGGTACTAATTGTTCTATTGTCAAATTGACCTCATGACCCTATAGACTCAAACTTCTGATGTAAGAAATTAAACTCCTGATCACCTAACCCAGTATATTTAAAGAAATTGAATGAGGTTCAACACACCGAGAAGTGTCTGGGTATTTTTTAACCTTAGTCTATGCTGCCCTACCCCTGAACAGTGTTACATACATTTATCACTGCTAAACATCTGCTGCCAGTCTCACAGGGTGGAACTGGGAGGGAGTCATGCTGACACCCCATCAGACTGGCTGTGTTTCCATCGGCACACATTGCTTTTCTTGGTGCTCACAAGTGCCAAGCCTTGGCTCTGGATTTTGACACTACCTTGGATCCATAAGGTTGCATTGGGAGGGAGATGTCAAATTGGCGCAGACACCCTCAGAGAGGCAAGCAATCATTTTCTAATGGAAATACAACATGACCTTTCTCCATCAATTACATCCATGTGGGAGAGAAGAACTAAGATATCTCTGAGCGGAATGCATTTGCATTTTAAATTTCCACATGTCAGCCCTCCAGCACCAGGACCTGGTGAGAGCTGGTGGCAGCTGAAGCAAACCTCAGCATTTTCTTTCCTTCCTACCCAGAAGTCAGGAGTGGCCTCTTTGTTCAATCTTTATTCACTTAAAATGTTTTAAGCTGATTCTCTCATCTGGATGCTTATCTTGTTTTTCAAAGATGGCATACACTGGTCATTAAAAGGCTAATTTATAAAATTCTGCATAATTCACAAATAGGTGTATCTCAGTGGCTACTTTGTACTGGAGGAGGATGCAAGAACAGTGCTTTTAAGAATGACTACCCTCTTGCATCACTTCTTTGGAAAAATAAAATTGTTAGTAACTGGTTTGATATAATTTTAATCATATTGAACTACAACTGCATGAAGAATGCAATTCAAATCAATAAGACCAGCCACTGACCAGTCATTATTCAATTGGGTTTGCAATTTCTCCCATGAAGAGGATGCTCTGAGTATATTGATAAACAAGCAACAGCAAAAATGGACAGCTGAATTTTACAGCAGGAGGAAGAAAACGAGGAAGAAAATCGGTACCCATGACTACTGCAGCCTCTTTGCCGTTCTCATGAATCTTTGGCAGGGCCTTGTGAGCAACCTACCATGAAGTACAGCAAGAATTAAAGTATGTTGAGGATGGGGTGTGAAATGATTAAAATTAGCACTAAGTTAATTCAGCTACTGCCTTTCACAAAAATTGCTGGTAGGCCAGGAACCAGGAAGAAGGCCAGTATAGGCCATGGTGGTTTTTTTATAAATATGTCAATATGCGAGTATTCTCACATTCGGAGTTCCTCAACACAATTGTATACAACACAGGCCTTAGGGATGGCGCACCTTGTGGAATTAGATGAACATAGAATATTCAAGCAAATTCACAAGGAATGACAATTTCAGAGGGAAAGGAAGTTGGGCTCAAGAACTGCTCTGCATGTATCCCTAATAGCACATGCATTACAGTTTAGCCAGCAGAAATTCAACCTTGATACCAATTTTTTTTTAATTATTGTTGGTAATTTTTAATATTTTTGCTAGCCCCAAGATACTAGAACATTGTAATTTCTGCTTTCAAAATGGCTCTAAGCTGCTAGCCTTTCTCTTCACTTTACCTGTTTCTCTTCACACTATTTTCAGGAAATGGGATGTTTTCCTGAAGTCTGGTCCATCTTACATGTTTAGCACTCATCAGGGCCTTCAGTCGCAGCAGAAGTTTTAAAATCCTTTAAAATTATAGAATGCACATGTTAGAAAAAGGCCACTTTCCTTGCTAGATATGCTGATGCAAGGCATCCCCAACACAGATATCTATGGGCATTCCCTCCACATGCAGAAATGGGGCTGCATTTAGTTTCTGGGACAAGTGCTACAGCAGCCTTTGCCTGTCAGGTGGAAGACGGTACCCGTATCTCCAGATCTTGGAGAAGTCTGAGAGAGTTTAAAGTTACTTATCAGCTAAATGTTCTAGTTCAGAGTATCAGCCAGCCCTAGCAATAAGTAAAATTTCACAACCTACTTAGCTTATAGCAACACAATTGAGTATTAAGAAATCCACAGATCATTGTTTGTGCTGACAAACTTACTTTTGAAACCTCCACATCAGGCTTTCCTGTGATTCCAGATAGATCAGCCTGGTCAGAAAACACATCAGTTACACCTAGATTCATGAACATCATCTTTAAGTCATAGGTCCCTGAAATGGACAGGTTTGGAATATACACTTCTATCCTCCTGTTAATTCAAAAGAAAATTATGGTGGGTATTGCAATACAAGCATGCCTTGGACTGAAGACTCCCAACTTGCTGGTGGTTCTTCTGTGCTAAAATGTTAGTCTTTTTATCTGAAAAAGTTGGCAACAAAAAGAAGCTGGGAAGATGATGGTCTGGAGGACTGGAAATCAGTTGGGCTTTCTTGTATGATTCTGTCGCTTGATGGGAGAGCAAGCAGCGGTGGTGCCAGCATTTTTGGGACTATGTTTGCATTCTCTTTCTAGACTTGAAGGTTTTTCTTTCTGAATTCATACCCCATTCCCTCCTAGTCATCTGATTGCTGTGTCACAGTATTATCAATCTTAACACACTGCGCTTGAGACAAGGGAAATGGAGAAACTTATCAACTAGGTAATGTGTGGGGAAAAAAATTAAATTTCCCAGCTCACAGATCTCTTCCCTCATCACAAGACAATGCTGATTCTAATTTTTGCTGAAAGTATCAAATCATCAAATAATTTGGTTTATACTTATACCTGTTCCATTGCTTAAATCTCCAATCAACAGCAAAGGTTTGTAACTGTAAAACCTGACCATAGTATTCAGACTTTGGATTCTGACTACCTTGAATCATAAATCAGAATTCTATATTTACTGTCTTTCAAGGGATTTTTCCCATTTAGACACAGTGGGTTTTGTCAGGGCACCTTCCAGCTGTTTCTTTTTTCCTTCACTGGGCAGGGCAAACAGTGCTGCAACATTTCCCTTGTAAGGAATCTGTACCACCTCGCAAGACAGCTTCCTGCCAGAGTGGGTTTTATGGAATCCATCTCGAGTCATCACCCTCACTTCACCTGAGGTCTTCGCATTCACATAGAAATAATCCTTGTGACTCCTTTTAATATTGAAAGGATTTTCTCAGTAAGCTTAAAACCAAAAGAGAAAGAATGTAATCGAATGCTTATTTCAAGGAGGATATATTAATATAGCCCAGACTAATGTATACCAGATAAACCCATATCTGAAGATTTACACTCATACTTGAAGATCAAAGGTATTCCTAGTTTATTAAAGGTCTTGTTCCCTGTCATCTTTGCTGTGCTGTGTTCAGTAACAACTAAATATCCCAGGTTAAATTTCATACAGACTTGTACAACACCCTTCTAAGTCAGATAAATTAAATGAAGTAACTTCATCATATTACCTTACATATTATCTGAAGAAAATGAAAGCTGACCGGGATCCAACGAGTTACTTTGTGGTTTCAGAATAATGCTTGTAAAGCAGATGTCTGCCTTTTAGAAGGTAGCATGTTAAGCTCCTTCCATGCTTTTTCATATGTTCTTCATCTTGTAGCACTAAGGAAAACTTACA